AAGTGAGGAATGCTTTGATTATTTACCAGCAGAGGTGGTAATAATTTTGACACTTTAAAAACAATCCCATTCAGGGCTGGGGAGATGGCTCAGTGGAATAAATGCTTCCCTGGCAAGCACAAGGGCCTGAGTTCAATCCCCAGTTCCACCAAAATAAATAAATAAATAAATGACCCATTCAATTGGCAAACATACTGGTGCAACTGGACTTTCTTGGAGCCTAGGAACAGAAAGGACGACCAGCATGGGCTTTTTTCCAGGAATATCTTCAGGAGAATGAGAGCGACAGACTGTGAACTCATCTCCAGTGCTTCTTCAACAACTCCCACGCTCTTGCGGCTTTTCTCTGGCTTTTTGTGTTTGGCTTAACTGCATCTTGCTTTCGCCTACCTGGCTCTAGCACAGGGAATTTTAGAACTGGATTAAGTTATGGGAAAAATTTGATTCAATTTCTTCATTTGGGAAAAGAACAAGCTGAGGCCCAAAGAGATGTATAACAGACAAGACTCCCACAGCCTGAGGCCTGGAGGGTCTGTGCTCCGTGGCAACGTGACATGCTGCTCCTCCGTTCTGGTCACAAATAGAGAACTACCCCTCTGTTCTTCCACTTCTGAGGAAGAGAGCTATAAAAATTACTATTGATCTGAAATTAGATAATAACCAAATTAACTTTAAATATAGTATCTAGAAAGTTGCATTAAAAATCACACATTTATTAGAGACCATTTCTTATGTCTGTGGTTAGTAGGATGTCACAGAAAGAACAATCCCAGGGCACACGAGATAAAGATTCTATCCTGGTCTTCGCTTACAAGACATGTGGCTCTGAGTAATTAATTTCCTTTTCTTCAAGATTAAGTCCATAATCTGCAAAGTGAAGGAAATAAGCTAGATAATATTTAATAGTTAGCTAGAAATGACAATGTTTATAATGATCACTGATACTTCCCCAAAAATTATAGTATTAAAAAATTTGAATACAAAGTATGTTACTCATTCATGTAATGACGTGATTAAATGATTTTGCGTCTGCATTTGCTATATTGCCAATTCCAAATGTATCGGCAGGCAGCGGTAGGAAACCTATTCTGTCCCGTGTGCGATCTTGCACAGCGACTACGCGGGCGCAGGTCAACCGCCCCCACAGTACCTGCGGCACGAGGGGCGCTCCATTCCGCAGCCAGCGGTACGTGGGCCTGGGCTTCCCGGTGGCCCTGCACTCCCATCGCAGAGGGCTCCCGCTGTCCAGCTGGGTGTCGTTCAGTTTTTCTACCCAGAGTGGGTAGGCTGTAAGTATTCAAGCACGGACAAAGGGTGATTTTATTTCTCAATTTATCAAGTTCAATATTCACATATAGAAAAATTCATTGCATTGAAATATTTTCATTTTTGAAATCGACATAACCATAGGTGTTTGAAATAAGCTCATCATTGCATTATACGCAGAACTATCCTTCCTGAATGCAAAGAAAAAGAGAACCAGAACAAGGAATATATTTTGATGACATTTTTATCACTTAGGTGTGTGTGTGTGTTCATGTGTGCAACACATTCAATTTTGAAACTACTTTAAAGCAAGTGTTCGTTTCTCCTGGGGCCCTGGCACCTGTTCAGCAGAAGTCCCTCACTTAAGAGACAGCGACCCCTGGCAGAGGTGACACCCAGAACCATCTACTGAGTAAGTGCCACACTTTTTTTTTTCTTCTTTCTGTTTTCCTTTCCAGTCCTTTCCTTCTTTCCTAATAGGACCTAAATGGCTTTTGAAGAATAATTTCTAATTTAAATTTTACTCAGTAAGTAAGTTTTCTTCATTTATCTCCCAGTATAAATTTTTTTTAATATTTTCTAAATAGTAACAGAAAAAAACTCCTTTATCAAGAGATAATGCTGTAACTTTGCAAACTGTAAGATCCCAGTTAAAATCTTTCCTCTGATGGCAAATTGGGAAAATAAATATGACTCATTGTCCATATATAGTCCTGTTTAAAATAGTCAAGCAATAAACATACAAAATTGAACTGAATTTATTATTTTTCTCTAGAAATCTTTTAGGCCCAAACCTACTTAATACTAGTTCCACTGATTCACTCGTTCAGCGTGCATGCACCTCCCACTGTGGGGCCCTTGCCCACCTCACAGATGATTAGAGAGAAAGAAACAACCACCTCCTCTACCGAAAGCACTTGAACTGGGGTGGGGAGAGCCTGAAATTACCACAAAGGAAAAAGCACCGTAGGGAAACTCATGTCCAAAACCAGACAATTTGGGAAGGAGCAGAGAAGCGAGAGGAAGAACTATCATTTATTAGATTGCAGCCATAGACATTATGGTGTCCTTTATACAGCAAATTGCTTACATTAATTCTTAAAACATTTATTCTGAGCATAAACATCTTATTTTGTGAATCAGGAAACTGGCTTGAAGCCATTGTGGTAGCGCGCACTACGTGACAGTGCAAGTTAGTGGTCTTCAGGAGTTAGTTCACTGGCTGTAAAGACAATGTCATTTTGGCTTTAAGGTGCTCTATGTTGGCATAATAGTCAGGATTCGTAGGTCATAAAATATTTTGTGATTCTAATTCAAAATCTCACCCTAATCAGTTTAAAATAGTAACTCTGACTTCTGTGCTTGGATTCCAAAATCAGTCTCCTTATCATTATCTCCTATATGTTAAATTACAGAGAGAGGAAGATACGAGGCGCCTCCGATACAGGCCTGCATCGGAGCTGTCAGCGATGCCAGGCTGTGCCTTCCCACTGCTCTGCTGCGAGGCCTGCGGTCGGCACAGCCCATTTGCTCTTTCCGAAGCACACTGTACTTCAGTCAGTCTGTTACTGTATGTGAAATGTTCTCTTCATTGTCATTCTTAATCCCACTCATAATTTAAGGCTTATTCTAAGTTAAAATATATTGCTGACAGTACCAGAGGGGTCATCTGTATATTCCCTGGACACCTACAGCTCTTCCTCACCCTGAAAGTCATCACGTAGTGGCTTGCTATTCCTATTCTGTTGCTTAAATTGTAACTAAGATATTTTTGCTTAAACATGCTAGCTAGATAGTGAAATTATTGTACATACTGTTGATTGAAAATATGTGTTTAATATAGATGCATCACAGCCCCAAATATGGAAAATGATAAGATAGTGGTCAGTTGTGTTTCATGACCGTTCTGCTAATGTGCTAGCATATGCAGCTTGAGAAGTTAAAAACTAAAAAGACATCACAAAAATCTACTGAAATTGAAAAATTAGAAAAGTGATAAATATTAGAAATTTTGTCATATGGAAAAATTTAAAATTGCAAACTTTCTCAAAATATATTTTGTATTGCTCAACAAAATGTTAAAAGTGAATGTCGTGATTCAAACCTGGATCCGTCTGAGCAATCAGATGAGTTACGCTTGCCTCACAGGGACGCAGTTCCTCCCTTCTCCTGACATGTTTTGGCCGCGCTTAGGGCTGCGAAGCTCGCACAAGCATGCGCACGGGAACGTGAGCTGCTGTCTGTCTGCTGTCCGCTCACAATTTAGTGGACAACATGCAATCGAAACTTCATCAAATTCACCTTGTGAGCAATCCTACAAATAAGGATAGCCTGCTATGCAGCTCTCTAAATTAACAAATAGTATCAGTTTATTGATGTTTCACAGATTTTTTTTTTAAAGTGATTTTAGAGCTTTCTGTTTCAAACTAGGTTTATGGAATTTTCAACTAAGTTTATGGGTTTTTTTGTGAAAACAAAATAGAAAATAGTAAAGAAAAAGTAATCAGGAAAACAGATATAAAGTCTCTGAAAAATAAAAAAAATTCTCTTTTCTTTTTTGAAACAAGGTCTCAGAATGTAGTTCAAGTTGGCCTTGTACTCACAAGGTAGCCCAGGCTGGACTTTAGCTTGCAGCGATCCTCCTGCCTCAGCCTCCCCTGTACTAGGTTGACAGGTTCACACCACCACCCATGACTTGAAAATGACCGCTCATCATTTATGCTTACATGTGTACATGCAAGTGTGCATATGGGGCCTGTGTGTCCACATGTATGTCCACATCTGAATGACACTAAGAAAAATGCAATTCTGAGACTCGGTCATGTGGTGGTATCACTCGGCTGTTTCTCTGCATGCAATGTGCAGTTCCACATAAGCTGCTTGCCAAGGCAAACCCAGAGAGACACAGCCGCACACTGATACACATATATACAAATGTGAATGCAGATACAAGCACTGATGAAGTATGGGTATAGATTATGGGAAAATTAAGCTCCATGGTAAAAAGAAATTAACATTCTCTCTGGATAAATTATTAAGGCTATTTGTATTTATGAACATCCTGTGTTATATTCCTGGAAAATGTTGTATTTAATGAAATATCATCTGAAGTATTACAGTAGATTTCCCTTTTTACTTTTCTAGGTTGTTTAATTTTTATTTATTTATTTATTTATTTATTTTATTTTTTGGCAGAACCGGGGATTGAAGTCAGGCCCTTGCACTTGCCAGGTAAGCGCTTATTCTACTGAGCCATCTCCAACCCCATAGGTTGTTTAATTTTTTTAACAAAATTAATTGTAATACAACATTTGAGCTTCTTTATGGGGTAAATTGGTGTCATGTGGTGCATGCCTAAAATATACAAAGATTTCCTTTTTATAATGCAAATATTTCACAAACCATGAGGTCTATACCACATAGACATGCAACCAATACATAAAGAAGTGTAGAAGGATTTTTTCTTTATAGTAGTTGGGATTGAATTCAGGACTGTGCACTTGCCAGGCTGACACTAATGCTGCTGAGCTATATCCCAGGCGCACTGTAGAAGGATGCTGACAAAATTTTAAAACTTAACAATTAAACACTTGCTTCTTGTCTCAGTTACTCCTCTGCCCTACTGGGACAAATACCCAACACCCAAAATGGAGGAAGGAAAGATTTATTTAGCTCACAGTTAATGGAGGTTTCAGTCCATACTCAGCTGGCTTCACAGCAGAATAGCACATTGCAGAGAGCAGCCTTTCATGGAAGAGGCAAAGAGCAGAGAGCAAAGGGAGTGGCGGCAGCTCTGGCAGCTAGCAGCCTCTCTCCCCTCCTTACACTGTAATGCAGAGCATCTTCCCCAGGGCACTCACACTCATGATCCCAGAATTGGACCAAGAATCAATGACAAACTCCAGAAGGCACCCCATGACTTTGTGAGGCTTTGGGGGGCAACTAGACACAAGCCATAACAATTATAGAAGGAAAGAATATGTTTTAGGCCATGATATGCCAGAGAGTACAGCCTTTGTAGCAAGATTCTTAGAACAATAAAAACTTTGGCAATAGCCATATTATGTACATGGAGGGCATAACTTTGAGTTCCACAAACACATCCCTTACTCTCCTACTGTGAGTTTTACTTAACATAATAGTAGCCAGCTGTGAGTCTCAGTATTTTTGCTAAGGGATACAGGAATCAATCTTTGTATTTACCAACTTGGTATGATGAAAGGCAAGGCATATGCACATTTTGCAAAAATGTCAAGCCAGGATTTTCACTGATATATGCTCCATTTAACAGGTTTGGCATATGTTTACTCACATACAACAGAGAGTGGAGAGGAGTACACCCGTACCACACTAGGGCATGTTTTTTTAACAAGTTTTCTTTTGATTTTACTGCTAGAAGTAGTTCAACTCAGAACAATAGTACTTAAAAATCAAATTTGCAAGTTTTGGGGAATTGTATAGTACAACTTTTGGGTTTCAGAAAGACTTACATTGACCTTATATATGGCAAAGGTGAACAACCTGTACTGCTGTTGTCAACCTTGCACTATGATAGAAATATTGAGAGGGGAAACTTCAGCAAAATGGAAGCCTGAAATGGAAACTTTCTACAAGATCAAAGGCACAACTGATGTTGTTGATAAGTCATGCAGCAAGCATGATGTCACTGGAAACACAAAGCATTGGCCAATAGTTGTGTTTTAATTGATCTTAATCATATGTGGCACAAATAGTTTGATGATAGTCTATAAAAAAATAAGAGCAAAATACCATTGAGACATTTTCTTAATGAATTGAGACTGGACCTCAGAAAAGAACATTTACAGCAGAGGAAAAATAAAATGCTTTCTGCACAGGGAACTGTGCAAAAAAAATTGTGGACCACACTGGTGAGCTGACCATTTGCAGGTGTGGCAGCCCAAAGAACTACAATGACAAAGTGAAAAAGATGTCAACTGTGTCCTAAAAGAAAGCGGGAAAGCAAAACATATGTGCAATCAATGTCAACAATACTTGTGGAT